CTGCTACTTATCCTCTTCCTTTTATTCCCATTTGACAATTTTGTATCAATACAATAACTGCTATTTTTCTGTTTCTCATTCTCTTCTTCGTACATCATAGAAAACAAATTAGATTTGTATTAGTCTTGTTGGAAAAAATAGATGCTTGCGGGATTTTTTTGACGCAATCCAATTTTTATTATTATCATTATTATTATTATTATTAATATTATTATTATTTTTATTATGTCCACAATTTTGAAGTTTTATCTCCTCTTAATACTAATTGCAATACTCGCACCATTTTTTTTTAGAATTCCTCATAAAGATTTTTCTGAGAAAATTTTGGGTGCTTCGAGGCCAGATTAATGGGAATGAGGACACGAAAACTGAAAAATTTGCGTAATTTCTAAGAAATGATGTGTTAAAAAAAAATATGTGAGTCTACGTGATAATTCCCCACTAACTACTGAAATCCTCGTAAAGTTTTTTCTAAAGAAAAAATTGGGTGCTCCGAAAGTAATTTTGGGTCCTCATAAAGTTTTTCTCAAATTATTTATTGTGCTCATATTAGGTCTCACTTATTTGAGAAAAGTTCATTTCTTAAAGATAGTTTTGAAAAATTATAATTGTACGTTACATTTCTCCATCCTCTATATCGTTGCTCTTGGAATTAATTTCTGTCAGTTGTATATTAAAATTATTTTAATAGCTCACAAAGCAAATAGGAGAGGTAATAAAAATAATTTAACTTTTAACCTTAATGAAATGATTCATAGTAAGAGAAATATCTAAGATTTGTTTTACACACCACAAATTTCAAAAGTATATTTTTTTTAAAATAAATTATATCAAGTTAAATGATACCATATCAAATTAGACGAAATAATATTGTATATATAGCACGATATTTTGTCATACGATTTGAATAGACACAGTTAACAAATGCTCGGGAAAGTTGTCATTTTCGTTTGTCCTTGTTCTTTAGGAAGTATAAAAGTAGCAATTCAAATATTTATACAATTAAGATGTTAAAAAAAAGCTATGATCATTGTTTTGCCAATATAAATATTTATACAATTAAGATGTTATAAAATAGTGTGAGCACACGTGTTGATTTCCTAACTCATTACGGATATCCTCACAAAATATTTTGGTGCTCCGAGACGTCAGATCCATGAGCTTAAACATAAAAATATAAATCGAGGATCCTAGTTAACTACAGAAAAGGTCTTTTAATGTGAAGATAAGAGTTCTAAAAAAATGGTGTGAGTATAGGGGTTCCTTCTCTAGTCTATATGAAGACCTTCATATATTTTTTTAAAAAAAATTAGGTGCTATGGGTGTCAGATCTATGAGTTATAACACACGCAAAATTGAGAGTTTTGAGTAATTTGTAAAAAAACAAAGGCTTGTTAATGCAAAAATAGACGCTGAAAATGGTGTGAGTATATGTGGTGGTACCTAACTCATAAATGAGGTCCTGAATTTTTTTTGTCTGCTCCATGGCGCCACATACATGGGCTATAACACTAAAAAATTTGAGAATTTTGAGTTATTCCTAATAAAAGGTTTATAAATGGGAAAATATGCGTTAAAAAATGAGAGTATACGCGGTGGTTCTCTAGATAACTAGGGACGTCCTCATAAAAGCTTTTGAGAAAAAAAATGGGTGCTTGTGCCAAATCCACGAGTTATAACACACGAAAAATTGAGGATTTTGAATAATTTCTAAAAAAGGGCTTCTAGAATAGAGAAAAAGATATTAAATAAATGGTATAAGTCTACGTGATGTTTCTCCAACTCATTATGAATGTTCTCATATTTTTAAAAAAAAAATAAAATTGGTGTGTGGGTAGAAGTGGTGGTTCCCAACTCATTACGGAGGTCCTCATAAAGTTTTTTGAGAAATTCTTTTTGGTGTTCTCGGGCGTCATATCAATACGCTATAACGCACGAAAAAACATAGATTTTGGGTAATTCCTGAAAAAGACATGTAAATGCGAAAATAGATGTTAAAAAAATTATGTGAGTATATGTGGTGGTTCCCCAACTCATTATGGAGTTCCTCATTAAGTTTTTTGAGATTTTTTTGGGTGCTCCGGACGCCAAATCAATGGGCACAATGCAAAATCGAGTATTTTGGGGAATCCTAAAAAGGGCTTGTAAATGCTGAAATAGGCGTTAAAAGAATGTGTGTGAGTATACGTGGTGGTTCCTTAACTTATTAATGATGTCCTCATAAATTTTTTTTGGGATTTTTACTTTGGTGCTCTAGGGCGCCATTATGGGTTATATAACACAGAAAAATCGAGAATTTTGGATAATTCCTAATTTAAAAAAGCATGTAAATGAGAAAATAAGCATTAAAAATGGTGTGAGTATATCTGTTGGTTCCCTAATTAATTACAGAGGTTCTCATAAAGTTTTTTTGAAAAAGAAATTTAGGTGCTCCGAAGTGCCAAATTCATGGGATATAACACAAGAAAAATAAAAATTTTGGGTAATTCTTTGAAAAGGACCTCTAAATGCGAAAATAGACATAAAAATGGTGTGAGTATGCATAGTGATTCGTAACCTCATTACGAAGCTCCTCACAAAGTTGTTTAAGAAAAAATGTTTGGGTGTTCGGGACACTAGATTCATAGGCTATAGTAACTCATGAAAAATCAAAATTTTGGGTAATTCATAAAAGAGCTAAGAAATGAAGAAATAGACATTAAAATGGTGTGAGTATACGTATATTAAGACAATTTTTAACTCATATTTTCGCATTTACAGGGCCACTTTTAAGAATTTCCTAGAATCCTCAATTTTTTGGTGTGTAGCCCATGGATTTGACTCCCTAAGCACCCAAAAAAAATCTCAAAATTTTTTATGAGGACCACCACACATACTCACGCCATTTTTATCGCCTTACAGACCTTTTTTAGGAATTATCCAAAATCATTGATTTTTCGAGTGTATAGCCCATGAATATGACGTCCTAGAGTACCCAAAAAGATTTTCTCAAAAATTTATGATGACCTCCGTAATGACTTGGGAAAACACCACGTTACTCACACCATTTCTATAATACCTATTTCCTCATTTACAAACTCTTTTTTAGAAATCACCAAAAAACTTTGATATTTCATGTGCTACATATCCCATGGATTTGACACCTGGTTCATCCAAAAAAATAATTAACAAAAAAATTTACGATGACCCCCGTATTGAGTTGGGGAATCACCACGTACGTATAACCGCACAATTTTAACGTCTATTTCTATATTTACAGACCCTTTTTAAAAATTATCCAAAATCCTCTATTTTCGTGTGTTATATATAGCCCCTAATGATCTAGCGCCCCAGAGTTGTCAAGAATTTTTTTCTCAAAAAAATTATGAGGCCCTCCAAAATGAGTTGGGGCATCACATCATATAATCACACCATTTTCAATGCATATTTCGACATTTACAAGCCTTCTTTTTATAAAAATTACCTAAAATTCTTGATTGTTTATATGCCCATGTATCTAGTGCATGGAACGCCCAAAAAAAATTCAAAAAACTTTATGAGGAACTCCGCAATAAGTTAGGAAACACCACATATACTTACACCATTTTTTTAACATCTATTTTAGCATTTATATGTCATATTGCAGAAATTATCCAAAATTCTCGATTTTTTCTTGTGTTATATAGCGCATGGTTATGGCGCTACGGAGCGCCCATGATTTTTTTTCTCTCAATAAACTTTATGAGAACCTCCGTATAGAGTTAAAATTATTCAAAATCATCTCAATAATGATAAAATGAAAATGTTCAAGTTACGATGTTACAATATATAAAAAATAATCATTCAGACTTAAAATGTTAAAAAATATAAAAAGTAATTCGTTTTGTACCGACTAAAAAAAGAAATATTGTCACATAAAATAGAGGGGGTATGAAAAGTGTTTTATCATATGATTGCTTTAAACAATAGAAGAAGGCAATACAAAATGAATTAACATTGACTCATATGATTGCTTCAAACAATAGAAGAAGGCACAAGAAGATGATTAACGTTGATTCTCCATAATTTCAAATAGATTTTGGAAGAATCAATTCTCATAAGTTTGTTATTTAGATGGCCTCTCATAAAAGAGTTGCCCACTACAATACCATATGCCATGCCGACGTTAACTGCAGAATGTAGCCGTGGACGAATTATAGAACACATAAATTTGTTCAATGCATTCTCAATCATAGCATGCAGGATCTAATTTGGAATGAGAATTACCAATCTGCATATACAGCTTATCCATTTTCACTTGCACACATCCATATTGATATTCTTTTCCTCCTAGCATGGAACAAAATTGTTAAAATTCAATGTTACTAGCATGATAGATAAATATTCTACCAATTACTTGAGAGGAGAATCATTGGTTAACCATAAACTGTTGTTACGATGACGAAATGTTGATAAAATAATTGACCACACCAAAAGACTTTTAGACAGGAATAACAGGGCTAGTGTTCACTGCTAACATATGAGGTTAATCATTTATATGGAAATCATGATCTTACTTCGTTAAGGCAAGAAGAAACCCTGCGCATTAAAAATAATTTACTTTGACCAGAAATCACAATGAGACATATCCTACAGCTGAAACAAGAACATTCGTTTCAACTTTTCCCTGGAATCCCAAGGATTTTAATTTATATCTGGGACACCATAAGATGCTCTCATCAGCAAGAAAATACAAAATATGTCCATGGGCAGTCACGAATAGATATTGTGTGATGATAGGTGACAAATTAATCAAGCATTGAAATGCAGTCTCAAAATCCTGATCATTCAAGAGGATGTCAAACTCATCCTATGCACAACCCTGAACAAAGAAAAATATGAAGTATTAGAACTGTATAAGTAACTGCTTAGATCATATTTTCAGTTTCTGGTAAAGAAGTATATCAATTTAGAAAAAGGAATGTATAGCAGAACGGTAAATGAAGCTAGATTGAACCACGACAGACCAGGATGCAAATCCCATTAAAGGAAAAACACTAAGTGGTTTCCATCTTATTAAGGTTTGGATTGACAAAGTTACACAATATTGTTCAAAAAATACAAGAAGATTAAGAAAGAGGAGCCATGCAATTTAAATATCACGTACCAACCATATAGATGGCAGCAGACCTTATACCAAAGAAAAATAGGAACAGTAAAAGAACTTCAATAATATTTCTTTTTCCATTACTTTTCTAGATAAAGGAACTATTCACATCCCTATTTTCTTTAATGACCTTGGTGTTCGGGACATCTTGCACACACCCCAGCAAGGCACTAAGACAGATGAGAAGAAATCACCTAGTGTTTTTTTGTCTCTACTGGGATTCAAACCTTAGACCTCATGGTTTTCAACCCACCCTCCTCCTCGAGCTACCCCAGCCCCGAGGCCTGCAACCTACCCCCACCCTTGGCCTCGAGCCACACCCAGCCTCACCCCCCCCCCACCACACACACCCGCCCCCAAGGCGCCCTTCCGAGAGACCCCCCGCCCCACTCGGCCCTGAGACCACCCACCCCCCACCTGGCCCAGAGGAGCCCTGCACCAAGACCATTCACCCCCCACCCGACCCAGATGAGCCTTATCCCGAGGCCACCCTACCCCTACTCGGCCCAGAGAATCCCTGCCCCGAGACCAACCCACCCCCACCCGACCCATAGGAGCCTTGCCCCGAGGCTACCCACCCTACTCGACCTCGAGGCGCCCAGCCCCGAGGTCAACATCCCCACCCGGCCTCGAGGCCACCCACCCACCCCTCACGGCCTCGAGGCGCCCTTTCCTGAGGCCACCCCCCAAACCCTGACTCGAGGCGCCCTACCCGTGGACCAATCCCCATCCCCTCCCGGCCTCGAGGTGTCCTGTCCAAGCCCACCCCTTCCCCCTCCCCCGGCCTTGAGGTTCCCTGCACCGAGGCCACCCTTTCCCCCGACCTCGAGGCGCCCTGCCCCAAGGCCACCCCTTCCCCTTCCCCCGGCCTTGAGGTTCTATATTTCTTAATATTCTTGTTCAGTCAATTTACGTAAATTATATAAATTGAACTAAAATAATTAATATGGTTCAGGTTGATACTCTACAAACTTTCTATACATGATTGATTTATATTCTTATTGAGGTTTAATTTCTTTTAAATAATTTCAAAAATGAAATTGTAAATTACGTTTCTCCATCCTCTATATTGCTATTCTTGGATTTAATTTCCGTCAGTTGTATACTAAAATTATTTTGAATGTGCACAAGGTAAAACCTCCTATGTAATACCTTGCAAACCACGTAGAAGAGTAATAAAAACAATTCAACTCTTAATCTTAATGAAATGATTCAATACACAGAGAAATATCTAAGTTTGTTTTAGATACAAAAATTTCAAAAATATTCTTTCCAAAAAATAAATTATGTTTAATTAAACGACACCATATAAAAATTGAGATGAAAATAATGTTGTATATATAGCACGACATCTTGTCATACGATTTGAATTGACACTTCAATAAATGTTCGGAAAAGTTTTGTCATTTTTGTTGGTCCTTGTTCTTTAGGAAGTCAAATAATAATAATTTAAATATTAATCCAATTAAGATGCATTGAAACCCATAGCTCCGCCCCTGCTAGTAGGCACTTTTAGCTAACTGCACAGAAGAATAATACAGAACAGAACAGAGAATGACTATGTTTATGTCTTCATCCAGTCCAATGTCCTCAT